GGGGGTCCCATGTGCCGGGGCCCCGGGACTCCAGGGGTCCCAGGTCCTGGGGTCCGAGGGCTCCGGGGGTGCCACTTTCCGGGGTCGGGGGTCCCGTGGCTCCGGGGGTCCCGCCGCGCCCCGGCGCTCCCATTAGCTGCCGGGGTCGGAGCAGTGTCTCTGGAGCGGGGGGGTCCCCGGGGGGGTCCCCGCGGGGGGGGGCAGCGCCCCGGGCAGCGAACGTCGCCGTGGGGGGGGCGGCTCCAGCAGCAACACCACATCCGGGGGGTCCGGGGCACGCGGCGGGGGCGGGACCTGCCGGAACCGGGGAGGGCGAGAGTCAGGGGAGGGACCGGGAGACCCCACACGGCTCCAGGAGCTCGGGATGTCCCACCCCACCCAGCACCGGGACACCCAGTGTGTGACCCCAACCCAGAGAAGGGCTGGAGGACACCGTGACAGGCACAGGAGGGGGTGTGCCCCAAATCTGGGGGGCTTAGGGTGTCCCCTGCCCGCACCAGGGATTTAGGGTGTCCCCCAACCCAGTAGAGAGCCCACCCACAACAGTGGGGGACAGAGCGGTGGGGCATGGGAGGGGGTGTACCCCAAATCTGTGGGGGCTCAGGGGTGACCCCAACCCATAGAGGGGCTGCATAACAGGGTGATGGCCCCCAAAACGGGTTGTACCCCAACCCTGGGGGCTCAGGTGTGACCCCAACCCACAGTGGACTGGAAGAGAAGGTGATGCCCCCTAACCAGGTGCATCCCAAACCCGGGGGGCTCAAGTGTGACCCCAGCCCACAGAGGCTGTGACAGTAGGATGATCCCCAAAGCAGGTGCCCCCTGACCCCAGGGTCCCTCACCTGAGCGAGCGGCCGCAGGGGGGTGATGGGCAGGGGAGGCTGCAGCGGCCCCGGGGGGGGCTGGTGGGGGGAGGTCACGGTGCTGTAGGCGGGGGGCACCAACACCTGGCGCTGCAGCAGGTGCACGATGGATGAGATGTCCGTGCTCAGCCGGGATTCCAGCCTGAAACGTTCATGGTAGAGCGTGGCCAGGCTGGGATGAGATGTGGGACCCCCAGCCCCATCCCTCCCCCAGTCCCCCTGGACCCACAGCACCTCCCCCTGCACCTCTGTACCCCCTTAAGGTGTGCCAGAGGGCTCAGGTTGGGATGGGGGTCCCTCATTCCTCCCCTTGCACTCAGGGTTCCCAGATCCCTTTGGGGGTGGTTGGGGGGCTCCCACAGGGTCACACTGCCCTAAAACCCCCTTCAGGTCACACCCGAACCCCCCTAAAATTACCTGTTGAGCTGTTTCTGGAGCAGATCCAAGCGGGATTCCAGGTCAGAGCGCTGGCGGCGGGTCAGGGTCGGGGTGGGATTTGGGGGGGCCCCGTGGGAACAACGGGGGAGCTCCTGGTACTGGCGGCCCCGGGTGTCACCCCAAAAACTGAAGATGTTGGAGACCCCCGAGAAGGCGCCTAGAAAAGGTGTGTGGGGGGGAATTGGGG